TTTAATAAATAATAATAACAGTAATAATTTGTTATACCTATTAACAACAAAATTTAAAATATCATTTAATAATATAAACATTTTTTTTAAGTAGTAGCAAAACATAAACAACAAATAGAAGTCAAAAGTCTTTATATTAGATCCTATTTAAAAATAATATACCTAGTCTCTAAATGGCAACGTTGGTTTATTAAATAATAATAATTACAGAACTAATTTGTTATATTAACAACAAATTTTAAAATCATGAAATATAAACATTTATTAATTTTCTAAGCATGCAGTGTAATGGAAGGAAAAAAAATTGAAAATTAGAAATCAAAATTATTTATATTACTTTTTATTACTTTATATTACTATTTAAAAATAATATTTACTTTTACTGGCATTTACTTTAAAAAATAAATGAAATATTTCTTCGCAAAAAACTACATGTAAGAGAATTAGCATAAACAAAATACAAACATTGTTAACTTTTTTTTAAATTGGCACGTGTAAAACTTTCAATTTAATTTTCTCACCCCAAAATTTGAGTTCAATAACCCCCCATTTACTTAACCACATTACTTAAATATGATTATTAAGTTCAACTAATTCATATTATTAAAACATCTAAAATACAAATATGTATTTTTAAAATTAATTGTAAGTTCATATCATCTCTCTTAAAAATTGCTACTTCTCAAAATTTCCTATTAAAAAAATGCAATCTAACCTAACCATAATATACCTTATAAAATTAAATAATTGTAAGATCGGGCTACGGAAAATCACACAAATTTTCAGAAAAATTTTGACCACTTCGCACACAATCGTCAATTAAAAAAAACTACTATTTTTGTATTTTAATAAACGCAAAAATAGCACAGTATTTACAAGGCGAAGTTATAAAAATTTGGAAGAACTAATAATGCCACTGACGCACACAAAAATCAAACGAATACTAAATTTCATTTATCAAAAGCATTCGATAGTCGTGGCGCAACGATTACCATTTAGTCGCACGGCGAGGTTGTCACATATGCTTTAGTATACAAATGAATGAATGATTTTATTCGAATAAAACCATTCGATAGTTGAAATCATTCATTCAGTAACCATTCGATAGTCTAATTCATTCGATAGTTCCCATCGCTAAACAAAACTATAATGAATCAAAAAAAAATTGATTTTAACCCCCTGTCGATGTCGCTACGAAACAAAGCAGAATCGAACCTATGTTGATATAAAAGTAAATCTCATTTTTACGTGAGGAATCTCCTCACAAGAGATGGCATGTATTTTTTGAAACACCCTGTAAATAGCTACTGAAAAGTTTCTATTCGTGGATTCGAACCCGAGTGTAATTTTACAAAAAACAAATATAGATATTTATTTTTTGCAGATAGATAAAAAGAACACTTTTGTAAAATGGACATTTTAATAGTAAATGTAATGAGTATTATAATCTGCTTGGAAACTAATAAATAAAAGCGACTCATAATTTATTAGTAATTTTGATTTAATAGCAAAATAATATCAAGCCTGTAGCGGTTTTTGTATATTTCTTATGGTAAATTTAATGTATCCAGTAAATATACATAATAACCGGTTATCGGTGAATAATCGCATTGAATAAAGTGTTATATAGATATTGCAGTTTATAAAATTAACCGACTCTTGAAAAACTCTCACCTATCTTCGCTACCTACACAATAATTGTGTTTTTTTTTAATATAATTATTATATTTTAAATATCAGATGAATTTATAAAAAAGAAATTAAAAATAAGCGAATGACTTTTTAATTTTCTGGTTTGTTTTTGGAATGATGATTGTAATATTTTGATGTATCTTTTCAGCAAAGAACGCTTAGAAACTGATGCAGTTAACACTGGGGTAGCCCAGCGATTTCTAGCCTAACGATCCGACATTTATCGCCAAAGAGAAACACAATTTTCAACAACAACAATTTTGAAACAAGAATTTTCCAACGTATCAACATAAAAGCCAGCCCACCAATGTCTGACATTACTTCAACATAGATGTCAAATTAGTCAAACTTTAACAACTAGTTATCAATTTGTGTCAGTTAAAACAAAAAGGATTCTCAGAAATTTGCCGAACATGGAAACTTACTCCATATCAGAGAAAACTGATATGATTCTATTAGTTAGGGACTGCAGTGTGCATTCACCAATTCATAGAATACTTAAATGCTCTCGATTTATCTAGTCTGGACTTATTTTTTATCGGAATATGCTAAAGACAATGCTTTGAAAACTCGACCAACTATTGTTGACAACAAGAAAGAAATGATTGTGGCTGCTTTTCGCAGTAGAACTTCATATATTCTTAACATGAAACGATCTTTTGGAAAGGGTATCATTTTATGCAGCGAACAGGAATGGAAGAATTTTGAGCATTTGATTTCATCTAGCTAATTTTTGTTACTTAATTATACGTTTATATCTAGTTTCAATTCTGTAATAATTAAATTATATTTTAAACGTGTATCGTGTTTTATTACCGTTGAATATTTTACTCTACATACATTAATTTTTGTTAAATTAACAAAAGATGTATTATTAATTATTACAGCCACCTAGATTTATCAAGTAATAAAGATCTACTGTCACAAAATCATAAAAATGAAAATATCTAGGAAAATCGTTGTTTATTTTGAACATGTATGAATTCTCCATTGAGTATTGAAATAATATACCGGGTGTTCTATTTAAAATAAAGGAGTAAATTGCTTTTAAATGTGATCAATGTTCAATATTAATTTTCTCTCACCCTGTATAACTTTTCGGGTAAAATTTTAATTCGATTTGAAGTACAATAAACGTATTTTAACTACATAATAGGCTATACAGGATAAATTATAATTTAGGTAGCATTTATTGAAACTATAAATTTGTTATTCATTTCTAAAAATTGTAAAATGATAAATATGTCAAAAATCTTACATTTTAGCCATATACTTCTCTAATGAAACTTACCTTTATTTTTCTCCTAGAATCCGAAAATCAATTAATACATAAGGTGTTCCATTACAAAAAAAAACACAACTTTGATGTGTAACTTGGGAATACCCTTGTAGAACTCTTTATATTTAAAAAAATAAATACGTTCACGAAATTTCAATTCAATACAAGCTGTAGTTCTCCTTGCAGCATATGTATATGTCCTTTTATTAGAACGACAGTTCTGCCGTGCAATTCAGAAACCTAGTAACTCGACTTACTTGGTTCTTGCTTTGTATGAATTTTTGGAATCTACTCGATGTGCTTTATCCATAGGTATTGTTACTTTTTTTATATGACCGATCATTACGAAAATATAGCCTATCATATATTAGTAAGTATAGTTGCTTTCGCTGTTTGTAATAGTAAATTGACTTACATGGTCAAATTTGCAATTTAAAATACCATTTATTCAAATTACAATTCAAAAACAAAGTAGGTTGGTTTACTGGTAGGTCTTTGTCAAATTTACAACTAAGAAATAAAGTAACTCGACTTGCTTTTCTTGCAGCATGTATAATACAAATTAAAAATAAAGTATATCTATATACCTACTAAATCCTTTTTTTGTTTTCTTGTCAAGCAACTAGAGTTACTTGCTAGGATAATCTCAAAAATTTTGTTTTGCCCTATTTTTGATTTCATATCTTCATATAATATTGCCGCTTAAAACCAAACAAAAAGACGGTAAATATACTTACGTCGGCCCATCGACCGCATAGGGGGGGTACCGTCAACCTTGATTCCACGTAACTCCACAGAACTCGGTCGAACTGATCGATTTTTATTTAGTATCTTCCAGATAGCGAAAGGGTGGATTTCTTAAGAACGATTTTAAAATAATTATTACGTTTTAAAATGTTTCGAGGGCGCAGAATGGTGGATTTAGCCAAAAATATGAATAGCACAGATTGTGAATCTTTTGCCAGGTAAGATTACCTAATAAAAAATATATTATGCTTATTATTCTATTATCCGTCATAATCCAAAAGGATACATAGAAATTACTACAACTTTGTAAATGTAAGCTATAGAAGGGTGATAAAAACTAAAAATATATCTGTCTAAAATAATATAGGTATTATAAAAAATAACCCTTTACATCATATATTATTGAGATAAACTGCTGGAACTTCGACACATTTATTAAAATATTTTTAGTCTGTATGTGTTGAGTTCAATATTTTGTAAAGTACTGGAAATATTTGAATGCGATTTGGGGCGTATTAATAAGAAAATAATGCGCTTTAATATGCTTTAAACCGAATTTAAATATTCTCGGTACTTTACGAAATATTTAACTTTAAAACAACAGACATAGAATATTTGATATGCATATCAAAGTTCCAGCAGTTTAGTTAAACGAAAAAATATTTTTAACATAACAAAGGGTTCTTTTATAAATTATATTTTTTAAAAAGTTAAATATTTCAAAACATCAAATTCACGCCAATGTAGGTACTGGAAATATGCTTTTTCCTGAACGACACTTTTGTTTTCCTAGTTTACAACAACAAGAACGAACTCCATCTCCATTATTTGACGATAGTGATGCTGACCCTGACTTTGATCCTGTAGAAAAAAACTATTTTTGTCACACGGTTTTCCCAACCCAATATTAGATAAAAAAATAAAAGTTTTTACAGAACTTCAAAATGTGAACCTAACACTAACACCAATTACTTTAAATATCGAAGAGAACAATGAAAATAATTTAAGAAACATGTCACAACCCCACAGTTCAAAAAATAACCTAAAGGAAACAACCGATGAAATGGAAATCCACAATATGGAATCAGATATTGAAAATCCTTATTCCCCAAATTCGCTCCTCAATACTGACAACCAAATACAGCACGATCAAAATTCAGAAGAACAGTTAAATCCTATTTTACAAAAAAAAATTTTAAATCAAAACGAGGCAAGCAATTTTGAAACACACAGTAGAACTGCAGTACAACAAAAAAAAAATTAAAGGAAAGAACACCCCGACATTTGCTACCAAGCTGCAAAAAATCCAGCAGGCAAAAATGTTTTGAACTTTTTACCGAAGTAAATCGAACAAAGATTTTTCAATATTATATCAATTTGAATTTTGGCGAAAAAAGACTCTTTTTATCAAAGTATGTTGTAAAAAAAACCGTAAAGTATCGAAAAGCAGATGCAATGAGAAATAAGGAGTTTTCGCTTACCTATACTTTGCCAAAATGTACGGAAAATATGGCTGAAAGTATTTCTGAACAATTCCCTGTCTGTAAAACGATGTTCCTTAGCACTCTGGGGTATAAATCCGATGCTATAATAACAGAATTTTTAAAAGGCAATGAGATGGACTTTCCATTATTAAAGGATAAATGAGGAGAAAACACTAAGAAACGTATGAAACAAATAGGAGACAAAAACTATGAACTTGTAAAAGAACACATTAATTCATACCATCCACAACCATCACACTACAATCTATCACATGCCCCTAATAGAAGGTATTTAACAGCAGATCTTTCAATTCATAGTATGTATTTAGATTATAATTCTAAAAACATAGATAATAAAGTTACATACGAGACGTATCGAAAAATATTTAATAAGGAGAATATTGGATTTTCTGTACCAACGCAAGATGAATGTGGTAGTTGTTCAAAATTCAAGCAGCATAGCCATGATGAAAACGCAACTACTTTTGAAAATGGTGTGGTTGAAAGTGTTAAGTCGCCAGAGGATATGGAAAATAGTACCCAACTAAATAGCAAAACTAGCGATTGTCAAATATGCATGGAATACCAGAAACACCAAAAAAGGTATAGGGTAGCTAGTGAAAAATACATGGGCGGTGTTGATCAAAGTATTAATTCTACTACAGAAAGGTATGCTGTCGATATGCAAAAAGTTATAATTATTCCAAAAATGACTATAAAAAACTCCTATTTTGTCAGCAGGCTTGTAATTTTTCACGAAACTTTTGCAAATCTAAAAAAAGGTGGCGAAAATATGTGCATCCTGTGGCATGAAGCTATTATGGGCCGCAATAGTCCGGATGTTACATCAGCCTATTATAATATGATAAAAAGGCTACAGAATAAAACAAAACATGTAATTTTTTGGGCGGATAATTGTACCTCCCAAAATAAAAACTGGGTGTTGTTTACCTCCTGTGTAACGTTTGTAAATGAACCATGGGGCCCAGAAACTATTACGTTTAAATACTTTGAACCTGGTCACAGCTTCATGAAGGCAGACTCCGTTCATGGACAGATAGGAAAAAAATGGAAAAAAGCAGCAGAAATTCTAGATTTTGAAGATTTGGAAAACCTAATAAGGTCTTCAAATAAAAAAAATCATGTCATCAGTCTTCGTTATGAAGACTTTAGGAAATTTACAAATGGGTGCCAAGGAAGAAAAAAGGATAGCTGCTCTGTTCCAAAATTACAGGAAATAAAACAAGTCCAATTTAAGAAGGGATCGAAAAGACTTTTCTTTAAAAAAGAACTAGAACAGGAGGAATACTCTGAAGTTTCTTTTCTCAAACCAAGGTTTAAGGTCCAACTCCCAGAGGCAGTTTCTTGTTCCAGGTAAATCATAGTTTATCATTTTTATAATACGAACTTATCAAATATGTTTACAAATAAGTTACAACAAAGCATTTTTTGTAGGGGTATTAACACTGAAAAAAAAGAGAAGATTTTAAAGGATTTATTTTGGCAATACACATGAATCCACGGAAAAAAATTTTTGGGGAAGAGTTACCGACTGGAGAACATAGTAAAGACATTATACACGAATTGCCGGAGGTTGAGTGGTAAGATCATTTTTAGTTTTAAGATTTATTATGGAATAAAAGTTGAGTTTTTTATTAAGTTTATATCAATATATATCCACCGTACAAATATATTTTAATGCTAAACAGTTATTTTAAAAGAATAGTTTAATAATTAATAATTAAAACACAATGTTACATATATTATGTTAATAAATATAGGCAAATACATTTATTAGTTTTAGTATATTGAATTACTTTATTTCCGTTAAGTATATTTGAAGGATGTATTTTAAAAGAATAATATATGTTGACATGCTAAGATAATCGTGTGAAATTTAAAATTCTAAAGAACCATAACATGACTTACATGGTTTCTGAATTGAGAATGGCATAGCCAGAGACATAGCATAACAAATAAGTAAGTCTAAAAACCTTAATAACACCTTATATTATTTAAATACAATATTTTTTTGTAAACATAATTAAAAAAATATATAATGATATACTGTATCCTTGTTTTCAAATTTTTTATTACAAAAATAATGAAACTACAAGCTAAAATTCCTCAAAAACTTTAAACCTCGATTGCGAAAAATGCCGTTTTTGGACTTACTAGGTTTCTGAAATGTGCGGCAGAGTTGGGGTGGCCATTTTGTGACATGAAAAAACCCACTACCATTGTTTTTATGAGGCCTTTATCTGAAACCACACGTAATATGGGCACGATAAAATAATTGAAATATGATTTCTTCTTTCAATAAACAGGCGCGTATACTGCGAACGTATTGCGACATTATTTAATGGTTGCAAAATAGACGCCGAGCTAAATAAGTGACATATATTTTTTTTCTGAATTATCGTAACATTGTTTAATGATTAGATACACTGTGTCAGTTGCGTGTCAAAAAAGGTATGGTCTCCAAAAAATTACACAAAATACAATTTGCCAATAAATTAAAATCACAAACACAACTGTCAGGGATCCTGTTAGGATGGCCACCTTTTTGCAATGTAAAAAAAGGACATTGGATTATGAAAAACGAGGCATGAGAGGGAGGAGGCAAGTTGCTGATTGCGAACCGCCGATTACAACTGGCTACTTTAAAATTCTTAAAATCTCTTTTTAATATCAAAATGGTTAAAAATAAACCCTATACTATCATTTCAGATTAAACAGGGAGTTCTAAATAATGTTGCCGATTCTAAATAATAGTACAGGGTGGCGCCTCTCATACGCCGCGGAAGCTCCAAGGAGAACGGGAGTTTATATCCAAATGAAATTTTGGCAGCATATTATGTAGGTTAATTGAAAGCATTTTATAAAAATATATAGAATTATACTGGGTGTCCCCAAAAAAGTTACACATCAAAGTTGTGTGTTTTTCTAATGGAACACCCATTTATTAATTGATTTTCGGATTCTAGGAAAAAAATAAAGGTGAGTTTTATTAAAGAAGCATATACATAAAATCTAAGGATTTTGACAGATTTCATATTTTGTGAAAATGAAGAGTAAATTTTAAACTTCGATAATAGCTATCTAAATTTTAGTTGACCTTGCATAGCCTGATATTTAATTACAGTAACCTTTGGATTTTAAACCAAATTGAAATTTGACCAGAAAAGTTATACAGGGTGAGACAAAATTAATATGAAAAAATTAATCACTTTTAAAAGCACGTTACTCCTTTATTGTAAATAAAACACCCAGTATATTTTTCGGTGTTCAATGGGGAATTTATATATCTTCATAATATTATTCAGGTTGTCTACCCCTCAGACAAAGATTTTCCTAGATATTTTAATTTTTATGATTTTGCGTCAGTAGTTCATTATCATTTGAAAAATCTAGGTGGCTGTGTGATATACCTTTGGTTTATTTAAAAAATTGTAGAGTAAAATAATCAACGGTAATGAAAATATACACGTTCAAAACATATTGTAATTATTACAGAATTAAAACTACATATAAACCTATAATTATGTGACAAAAATTAGCTAGATGAAATCAAATGCTCGAAATACTTCCTTTCCTGTTAACTGCATAAAATGATTGTCTTTTCAAAAGAATCTTTTCATTTTAAAAGGCATATGTGGAGTTCTACCTCGAAAAACAGCTAGAATAATTTCTCTCATGTTGTCGACAATAGCTGGTCGAGTTTTGTAAACACTGCCTTTAACATATCCCCATAAAAAAACCAGACTAGATAAAATCAGGAGCATTTAAGTATTCTATTAATTGGTGAATGCACACTGCATTCACAAACTAATAATTAAACTAACAATTCATATCAATTCTCTCTGATGTAGGATAAGTTTGCATTTTCGGCAAATTTCTGATATTTTTTTTTGTTTTAACTGACACAAAATGATAACTACTTGTTAAAGTTGGACCAATTAGACAGCTATGTTGAAGTAACGTCAGACATATGACAGTCACCTAGATTTTATCGTATAATGGCCGATTTCCACTAGGCGCTCAAGTCACAGTACGCTCACTGTCCGCTCACGGTCAAAATTTATTTTTCAATGTAATTTATACGGAGCATCCACATTTGCAAATCCGCTCACGGTACGCTCACGCTCTTTGACCGCGGAATTTCTCGGAGACAATATTTTGAACAGATCGAGACCTGACTGTCGGATGACTGGACGGCAGTGTGAATATTAGTAGTGGGAACTATCGAATGAATACTATCGAAACATTCGATAGTTGCAATTCATTCGAATAATTCGATAGTAAGAAAACATTCGTTGAAAACTATTCGAATAAAAATTATCGAATAGATCCGTCATCTGCCTTGAAATATTGTATTCTAGTAATTCGGCAGCTAAAACCATTCATTTATAAAATTCATTCATTTATGAAAATCATTTATTCGTCAGGATCGATTATAATAAAATATTAACTGAATTTTAGTTGTCGCCCGGCGACGTAGGTTTCTTTCCGAGAAACCCGACAGCGGTCGGTGGCAATGCTATGAAAGAAGCCGGCATCTTTGATTTTTTGCGGAGTCAGATATAGATAAGGACACGTTATTTTTTTTTATTGAGGTGCTAGTATTTACACAAAAAATACATTATGAAAGGCGCTGTTGCCATATTTTGGTATTAGTTGATATTAGCAAAGAATATTATTGTTTGGCTTTAGTTAGTTAGGGATAGTATGTCTATATATTCTGCATTTTTTTTATTAATATTCTGTTGTTACACTGCAATAATACTTGTTATTTTGGATGTAAGAAAATGATTTTTAATGTTTTTAAGCAAAGACTGGTTTAATAAATAATAATAACAGCAATAATTTGTTATAACTATTAACAACAAAATTTAAAATGATTTAATATAAATATTTTTTTTAGTAGTAGCAAAATATAAACAACAAATTAGATGTCAAAATTATTTATATTAGATCCTATTTAAAAATAATATAGTCTCTAAATTTTTTGGCAACGTTGGTTTATTAAATAATAATAATTACAGAACTAATTTGTTATATTAACAACAAATTTTAAAATCATGAAATATAAACATTTATGAATTTTCTAAGCATGCAGTGTAATGGAACGAAAATATAAATAAAAAATTAGAAATCAAAATTATTTATATTAGGTGCTTTATATTACTATTTAAAAATTATATTTACTTTTACTAGCATTTACTTTAAAAAATAAATGAAATATTTCTTCGCAAAAAACTACATGTAAGAGAATTAGCATAAACAAAATACAAACATCGTTAATTTTTTTTTAAATTGACAGGTGTAAAACTTTCATTTTAATTTTCTCACCCCATAGTTTGAGTTCGATAACCATTTACTTAACCACATTACTTATAAATATGATTATTAAGTTCAACTAATTCATATTATTAAAACATCTAAAATACAAATATGTATTTTTAAAATTAATTCAAAGTTCATATCATCTCTCTTAAAAATTGCTACTTCTCAAAATTTCCCATTAAAAAATAGACCATATACCATATAAAATTAAATAATTGAAAGATCGGACTACGGAAAACCACACAAATTTTCGGAAAAATTTTTGACCACCTGCACATGCACACAATCGTCAATAAATAAAATTAAAAAATAACTACTATTTTAGTATTTTAACTATTTTAATAAACGCAAAAATAGCACAGTATTTATACGGCGAAGTTATAAAAATTTGGAAGAACTAATAATGCACTGACGCATACAAAAATCAAACGAATACTAAATTTCATTTTTCATTTATCAAAAGCATTCGATAGTCGTGGCGCAACGATAACCATTTGGTAGCACGGCGAGGTTGTCACATATGCTTTAGTATACAAATGAATGAATGATTTTATTCGAATAAAACCATTCGATAGTTGAAATCATTCATTCATTAACCATTCGATAGTCTAATTCATTCGATAGTTCCCATCGCTAGTGAATATAGTGCGATCAGGTGCCGGCCAAATTCTGTTCTGACTCGGCGTTTGGGGTAAATACTTTCGTCCCTGTAAATGTGTTTTTCAAATTTTCAATATAAAATGGACGAACAAATGATAGAGGCAGTGCGTGACAATGCCGAATTGTATTGAATTGTTGAACGCAAAAATTCGGAAAAATCAGAAACAGAAAAAGATCATTTAGATCTATTTTTCGATAGTATTAAGGCAACGGTGTGTAATTTTTCACCCGCCGATATTCACACGACTAAAAAACAAATATTTAATTATGTGTCCGATATTGAAGACAAATATATTTGGATGCGTGGCCGCCCTAATAATGATCGAGGCTGTGCTGATCAACCTGCTTCAAATTCCACTTCCCGTCGTACTTTTAATACGATCGAGCAGCCCCTAAGATACCAACAAGACTCCGTCCATGATTTCCAATCCACTTCCAGTTTCATTTGCATCGAGCAGCCGCAAAGACATCTACAAGACTTCCTCCATATTGCTCAATCCACTTCCGGTC